TCCCACGAGCAGCAAGAGGGGGGCGCTTGCTCCCGAAGCTGGAGCTGGTGCTCCACCGCAGAGCCAACCCACCGGCCTCGCTGTCGGTGTGCGTAGAGCTGCTTTATGGCAGATTATTTTTAAAATAATAAAAGGGTGACCTCAGTTCTGTGCAGGCATACTCCAGGTAGGGCAAAAATAGCCCTCCTCGGCTAAGAGCATCCTTCCCCTTCACCGGCGGGCACCTTCCCCAAAGAGCCCAGCTGCCTGGGAGCTGTGAAATGCCCTTTTTGGTGAGCAGCCTCCCAGATGGCAGCGCCGTGGATCCCAGGGAAGCGGGCTGTCAGGCAAGCTGAAGCGGCGTGGGCACACACACACACTCACACGCGTGCACGCAGACGCGTGCGCACAGCCGGCCTCGCCCGGGAGCCGCGCTTCGCCCGCACGCTGGAGGCAAAGCTGCTGGGAGGCGGAAGGGGAGGGGTGTTTCAGGGCAGCATGAGAAATGGGGCTTCGGGGAAGCTGGGGAGCATTAGTGCTGCGGGAAAAGACCTGGGGCATGAGCAGGATGCAGTGGGGTTTTTTTTTTCCATGGACCAAGCCCTGTGTCGCTGTGCGTGCACGGAGGGAGGTGGACGTGGCGACTCGTGGGATAAATCCTTCCCCCTCAGCTTCCCCCTCCTCTTCCTCGGGGACTCCCTACGCTTCCCAAAGTTTGAAATGCTTTGAGACCCTCAATGGGCACTGCAGGCAAGGTCACGGCGTTAGGCAAGGAGGTTGGCACACGAATCGCTGCGCCTCCCATTCCTCTCCCATGCCTCCTTCCCCTGCTCCTGCCCCGGGACCCCGCTCCCTGCCAGGCCACACGGAACAAAACCCCGCTAGCACGGCGCAGTTCTCGCTAGAACAAATTGTTGCTGGCATTGTAGGTTATTTAAATCCACATATTATCTCTTCCTCTGTATTACATTAGCTTCCTCCCAAACCTTCGCCATCTGTTCCACCCTCGGTTATGAATGTGAGAAAACTGAACATGCTGCTTCACAGCTACAGCACTTAAAAAGTATGATGTGCATCCTAATGGCTTCTCTGGGCGCCTTTCCACGCAGGCTGTGCCCCTTCGTTATTGCCTGGGATTCACTCGAAATAGCCATTAATGCTACGTCGCATTAGCGACTCTTTCCTTCCAGCATTGCAGCCCGAGCCCTCCTCCCCGGGCGGCAGGGTTACGTGTGATGGCTCCGGCGTGAACGCTGGGTGGGAGCCCCGGCAGCGCGTCTGCATGGGGCTGGGTGGGGAGAGACACCAGGACCGCTGGTGCCAGCCCCCTGCCTGAGGAACGCCTGGCTCTCAGCAAGGAGGAATGATGGTTTGGTTCCTCTTTTGGGGAGCCGTGTCGCTCCCAGCTCCCTGCCACCGCGTGAGGTCACGTTATTGAAGGTGCTGGACCCTGCGCGAGTCCCACAGGCTTCAACAGGGCTGATGGTCGGAGTAACCCCCAGTATCAATACAGTCTGGGGGAAGAAAGGATGGAGAGCGGCCCTGCCGAGAAGGACTTGGGGGTGCTGGTGGATGAAAAGCTGGACATGAGCCGGCCATGGGCGCTGGCAGCCCAGAAGCCAACCCTACCCTGGGC